GCTCACTCTTGTTTTATTTTCAAAACTTGTAATGTCATGTACCTAACTCCAGAGATATTTTTTTATGTTTATATGTTGGATTTTTTGCTTATCTAAGAGGTTAGATTTTACGAACCGTTTGGTACATATAACTAATTTTTTGATAATTTTGTGGATTGGTTCCTTTTTGCTTAACTACGTTCAATTGTGAAATAATTTACGCGGTCGCTAACATCAACTATCACAGTAAATGCGTGGTAAAAGTTTACGCCATCTTGACGATACAAAGAAATGTCCCATTGATTAAAAATGAAAAATTTTTTTTTCTTTAAAGTTTATTTGATCAAAAAGTAAAATAACATTACATTGGGTATATAATATATACAATTTTTGGACACAGTCGTTTAAAACCGCCTGTAATGCAACAGAATAAGCTGTGTCACAGTTTGATGTACTCAAAGTATCATGCATCTTAGTTTAAACAATAATTACATATGACATAATTTTCTATATAGGGGAGACTGAGGACACTTGATCCTTACGGGAGACTAGATACACTGGATTTACAAAGCTTTTGTGTACACTATATGATTTTTAAGGGGCAACATTAATAGTCTATGGTACGTTCTAACTTTCTAAAGTTGGTACTCCTGTCAAATTTGACAGTTGAGCAGATGGCGGATGATTGTGTGTTTCGTGTGGCCAGAAGATATTTTTCGTAAGTTATTATTTTGATTGCACAATTGGATAGGAAACATGTTTTGTATAAGAATCAATTTTAAACTATTCATTATCTATGTGTTTAAACGTCTGTTTCATAGAAAAGTGTTAATAGTAGTAGATATTTTTACAATATTTTTTTATAACCTCAATATACCTAGGGTACACATGGTACACTTTCTTATGGGAGATAAGATCCCGCCGGATCAAGTGTCCCCTAATGTTTATTTTTTTAATAATTTCAGGATTCAATATGCCTAGAGTATATAAAACAAAAGAAGGTGCAAGAAAAAGAATACCAATCAATAAGGAAATCTTGGAGTTGGCTGTCAATGATGTTACAGAGGGTAAGAGTATTCGTGGTACTGCCAAAGGTTATGGGATAGCAGTTATGACACTGAAAAGATATGTCAGAAAGAAGAAAAATGCTACGACTGAAAATATTGACTACAAGCCAAACTATCGCCAGTCACAAATTTTTTCGTCAACTGAAGAGACACAACTTGTTAGTTATTTAATAATGGCCAGTAAATTGTACCATGGATTAACTCCTAAGAATGTACGAGACCTTGCATTTCAATATGCTTCTGAAAATAGTAAAAAAGTACCACCAAAATGGGTTGAACAGGAAACAGCTACTTATGATTGGTTCTACGGTTTTATGAGTCGTCACAAAGAGTTGTCATTGCGTGTACCCGAAGCCACTAGTTTATCTCGCGCTACAGCTTTTAACAGACACAATGTCGGAAATTTCTTTGAGAATTTGAAAAGCTTATTGCAGAGATTTAATTTTGGCCCGGACCAAATCTGGAACGTAGACGAAACTGGAATTACTACAGTTCATAAGCCAAAAAAAATTGTAGCATGTAGAGGTCTCAAACAAGTGTCTAAGGTCACATCTGGAGAACGTGGGCAGCTTATTACTGTATGTGGAGCTATAAATGCTATAGGTAACCACCTGCCACCATTTATTATATTCCCACGTAAAAATTGGCAGCAACGAATGATAGATGGTGGCCCACCGGGTACTGAAGGAGCTCCACATCCAAGTGGATGGATGACTGGGCCAAATTTCCTACTTTTTCTGATTTTTTTTCATAAGCATGTAAGATGCACCAAGGACAATCCTTGTCTTATTATATTTGATAACCATGAGTCACACATTACTATAGACTCTATAAACTACTGCAAAGATAATGGTATCCATCTATTAACTATACCACCACATACTTCTCAAAAATTACAACCTTTGGATCGCATAGTATTTGGAGCGTTGAAGTCATACTACAATACTGCATGCGATAATTGGATGGTTAGTCATCCAGGGCGGCCGTTAACCATATATGATTTGGCTGGATGTCTAGGCATCGCCTACCCAAATGCAATGACTCCTAGAAATATTCAGAAAAGTTTCTCAGTTACTGGAATTTTTCCATTCAACCCTGATATATTCACAGAAGACGAATATTTAAGCTCCTACGTTACTGACAGAGAAATCGTGCAAACTGAAACAGACAATGTTATAACCTCACCATCTGTGTCACCATCTATTTTACTTGATCAATCTTTAACGGCTGAAAATACGGCACCAGCTTCCCCTGCCCTCACACTAAATACAGAAAATGATGCGCCAGTTGCACCAGTTCCAATTCCAGATGACGATGTGACTCCCAATATTTCTGATAATGAAAAAGAAAATGATTCTGCAAAATCCCCCCCAAAGTTGCTTTCCTTATGTATGGCCAGTAATAGAGATGCCCTTACGAATTCCTACAATAATAACAGACCGACTGCAGCTGATTCTCCACAAATTAGAAATAACGATAGCCCTAAGACACCGACCCATTCTCACAATATTAACGTTCCAAAACCTTCTACATCAGCATTTGTAAGTCCTGAAGTAATAAGACCACACCCCAAAGCAGGACCGAGAAAAGGATCTGGAAAGGGGAGAAAAAAAGGTAAAACTAGGATTTTAACAGACACACCGGAAAAACTGGCAATCGAGAATGAGTGGGCAGCTAGGAAACAGAAAAAAGAAAAAAAGATTTGCAAAGCGAAAGTAAAAGCAGTAAAACGTAACCTAAATTCACAAGAACAAGAAGTGACGACGTCGGAAGATGAAGAACTACCGCCATCGCCAGACTCAGTTTTAAGTGCGTTTAATGAAAGTGATGTCTCTAATAGCAGTAGTAGCGAATCAGAGAATGAAGACGACTCCATATACTCCATCATCATTGGAGATTGGGTTATTGTAAATCTAATCTCTCAAAAGAATCTCGTTCATAGATATGTTGGGCAAATACTGAGGGAAAGTCGAGCTGGATATGACATTAAATTCGCAAAAAAAATTAATGATAAGATGTTCAAGTGGCCTGTTAACGACGATATTAGTTCAATTGCCAAATATCAAGTTGTGAAGAAACTACCAGTTCCGGAAGTGAAATCATCATCAAAAAGAGTTATTAGTTTTATGTTTCCAAGATCATTAAGAAAATTTAATATTGAGAAATAAAAAGTAAAAAGATAATTGCTATTAGATAAAAAGAAAAGACTGTTTAACTTTAAGGAAGAATAACTTATTTTTAATTTAACCAAAGGGGTATCTTGTTTTGTTGTGCTAATTGCAAAATTTATTTAATGTTTTATTTAGTTTTAAGTAAAAAATTTACTAGAACTTTAATTATATTTTCTTTTTAAACAAATTAACATGTGATTTGAGTTATCAGAAATAAGCTGTTAGTAGTTGATTAATAAGCAAAGTCATAAATGTCAAACAATTGAAAAGTAGTAAAAAGAATAGATGATGGCTAGTAGAGAAAAAGTAAATAAATCAATGATAAAAACAATTTTAACATATTTTTTTCCTTTTCTTCCTTATTAGAATCATATGTCCCCAAATGTGGGAGACTTGTTCCCCCCAGGATCAAGTCTTCCAGAAGGGGGGATCAAGTCAGACACATATATGGGACACATGATATCATTCCCTATACGAAGTTTTCATGGGCTAGTTAGTTAATTTATGTACTCATATCATTAGCTATTATACTTAGTATAACCAATGAAATTCCACGTATTTAAGTAACAAAATATTTAAAATCGGATTAATATTTACAAAATAATTGCCAAAAAACAAAAGGGGGGATCAAGTGTCCCCAGTCTCCCCTACTAAAGATCATGGCGCCACAATATACTCGAAATACTGTCAAGTTAAATTTTCAACCTGGATATGTTTATAATTAGAAGCTTATAGAAGCACAGCAGTGGCGCGGCAGCTGCGCGTCTGTAGCGCTTCAGTAATTTTAAATTCACTTGTTGTGACTGCAAAAATGGCGCGCGTGTCACGATAGTGGCACTGTAACTGGGTCTCTAAATATTGCATGAAAATTAGTAGTGCCACTGGAGCGCTTTTAAGCGTCTAATATGAAGGCGCCCAAGATACCGGCGTCAAGAATATAGTACAAACTAGATACAAGCCTAAAAACAGGTGGCGTGGCTTATGGAGAATTCTCGCGCAGTCTTAGAATATTTCGCAACTACCGTATCGTATTTAGTTTGTACTTTACACAATTGAGTTAAAGTTCATTATGCTATGTACAATTTCTTTAGAAAATTTTACTTCCATTCCATTCCGCAGCAGATTGTAAATTGAGCCTAAGTGCCAATTGGGTTGTCATAAAAATATTTTTTAATTTTGACTTTTTATTCTTTTTTTGAGATTATATGTATTTTGTAAGCAGTAAATAGAGCTCCTTGTGACAGAGTTCGTCCAGGGAAGTACTGCCACCTTACCTATTTCTGCCGCCAAACAGTAATGTCAGCATTACTGTGTTCCAGTTTTTGAAGGGGACATGGGGCTTGTTAACTTATGTCTCAGGGTGACGGGCGCAGTGGTAGTGCCCCTCAGATATTTGCAACTTAAAACTCTGAGTGGTATTGCAACTGTTATGGGCAGGCGTGTAGCTTACCATCAGGCGCGCGACTTGTTCGTCCCGTCACTTGATATATTAAAAAAAATATTGTCGCCGTTAGTTGAAAGGCATGTGACATTACAAAAAAAACTGTTATGTCAATATTTTTATTTTATCCTATGTGGATAAAGTATGAAGTTACCGCAAGAGAAAAGTAGATATTTTTTAATTTAATTTCATTAAATAGTAATTTCTCAGCTTTGAGTTTTTTTTTTATAAAAAATAAGTGCGCATTTGACCTCATCTTACCTGACGGAAAGTGGCGATGAGGTCGACAATGGAACATGCACACCTAAACAATGCTTATTCACTGTGTCGCTTTGAAAAGGTCCAAGTTATAGCGTTCAGGGAACACGTCTGCAGGCAGGGAATTCCACTCCATAGTCGTTCGCCATATAAATGTGGAAGCGAAACGCTTCAAGCGAATTATTGGAATATCCACAAAATGGGAGTGGAACCACAGCCTGCGCCTATTCCCCCGGTGATTGAAAGGGGAAGGAAGGGGTTTTTGTCACAAGCGCCCTTTCAACTAACGGCGGCAGACTAATGTTTTTAAGGTTCGTTTTTCTTTACCTAACATTCAGTATATATAATTTGATTTTATTATTATTTATATTATTGTACAATTTAAAAAAAGCAATATATTTCGTCGTAATACAATTACGGAGAAGTGCACAGATAGTATTTGATTTTAACTCATAATTATTTTGGTAAAATTAAAAGCACGGTGCCACAAACACCTACACCCGTGACAATATAGAAAAGTTAGTTTTCTTCAAATCCGGCCGAGGGTAGAACCTGGGACCTCAGAGATGGCGACACCATGAAAACCGGCGAGCAAGCCTCTCGACCACGGAGGTATTTAAATATACTAGGGCTCCTTCAAATTAGACGCTTATATAAGCACTGCAGTGGCGCCACTGTCGCCATGGTAACTTTTAGTTCGCTAACCCTTTGTTTACAGGCGCTAAGGTAGTAATGATTTTCCGTAATATTTTACAATTATGAATATCAGAAAAAAACAACAGAAAAATGCATAAAATTCTGATTAGGTTCCAAATTTACGATACAAATCATATGTTATTGTTTTCCTAGTGAATATTCCTATCCGAATATCATTAGAATATCAAAATTTACCTGATGCAGTTCTGATGCGATGAATTTATTTTGTAAATTTTTCTTGCGCCATTTATTTGAAAAAAAAAAGCAATCCCTAGAGTTTCTTCCTCGTTCTTCTCAGTGAAGTCGGCACAGTGAACGAGCAGTAGGTTAAAAAAATTACATTTTCAAGTGTAAAAATTTTACCTATGGAATCAATTATTATATGACTGACCATGCTATTTGTGACTGGAAAAGGGGCGTGCACGTATCACGACTGTGGCCATACTGCAACGTTTCCATAAGCATCTAACTTGAAGGCGTTATGATAGTAAAAACATATTATAAAAATAAATATGTACATACGCAATTTAGCGTTGTAATTTCAGCTAGATGTGTCCGTAAACATTTGATTACAACAAATCTCGCTTTACAAACACCTGTGTATATTATGATTATTCATACAAAAATCGAACACACAAAAACTTTTTCGACCCAATGGGACTTGGAACTCACGACAATACTGCACCGTAGCATTGCTCTTAACAACTGAGCTACGGGTCAATTATATGTGTTTTTGTAAAAGATATTTGTACTGGATTTTTCGGCATTCTGAACCGCGCTTGTGATATCTAGTGAGAGATTTTAGAACCTTCTTCACCGCAGCCAGCACTAGTTTTTATTAAGATTATCGAGAAAAAGTTTTTCTAATGTAGTTATTTCACAAAAATATGTCAATAATACACCTGTGTACAGCTTTACACAGTGAACTTGAGGAAAGGACAGCCTTATGGTGAATCGTACACCAGCAACGTCTCTTTCGGCTGCTGGTCAATTGAGCTGGTCTTCAAAACTTCACGGGCGTTTTTTAAAATTGCGGTGCTCGGCGACGCATCACAATTTTTCGTGTTAACAAGCGTAAGAGTGGTGACGTCCATTTTATGCTCCAGCTTGATATGGTTGCGTACGTCTTGGAACTTGCGATATGAACTGGAACGTGAGCAATAAAAGTAAATGAAAAAAAAAACATGGCAATTTGTAAAAAAAAATACCAGTTTTCTCGTCTGTTCAGTGAGTTTTCGACTACATAATTATTAATATAAAGATCGAACACTATACTACAAAGCTTTAGGTTAAAAGTTCCAAAAGTTTTGGGTTCACTTAGGCAAGATAAAAAAATTTTAAGATCCACCACCAAAAAAAATAATTGAAAAACACGTATTTTTTATATTAATTTATACAAAAAAATCACAACGAAAAAAATTATATATATATATATGTAGTGTAGTTTACATAGATAATTCAGGGCAATTTTCATTTGCGGTAGCACCTGGACAACAACAACGCCCCCAATTGGCTCCTTACCGTAGGGGCCCGCCCCCTAGGACTCTTCAGTGCCTACTGGTAGGGACCACTTTGGGAAACTAATAATTTATGTAATTAACTAAATGAAAAGAAACCGTTATGAAGTATTTTATGAGGCATTACCTGGATACATATTGTAAAAATTATACTGAAGTTTTTGAAAATGAATCTAAATATATGATAATTTTTTCAGGTCATAGATAACATTTTGATCCGGCCGGATTCGAACCTAACAGAAATAATTGAATATCAATTCAATAAAAATTTAATCATTTATGTAGGAAATTAAACTGTTTTTGCGGACTTAAATCGCGTATATTTGATTTTTTCAAACAAACTAACGTTTTGGGCCATTTACAGGTTCCGTGGTCGCGGTTGACTGAGATAGTACAGTCATCAACCAGTTATGTCTAATATTAATGCAAACAACCCTCTATTTTCACTATAGTTACAAAAGTTATTAATTAAATACCTTATTTTTAATTTTACCAAGAAACATTCCAATTTACGCTACATTATGTTTTACAATTTTTTTATTTTAACAATATGAATTTTTATTAAGTTAAATTTATTACTAATTAATCATGGAAATTAGAATAAATTAAAAATATATTAATTAGTACTGCAGTCTTATGTCCGTGACCGTATTTGAAAAAACAAATATACGCGATTTAAATCCGGAAAAATAGTTTCATTTCCTATGTGTAACAATCGCGAAAACCTAAGAACTCAATATCAATCATTTATATTTTTTATTTTATCCTAGTGTCGCCATCTACATTTTTAAGTATGTACTGCTAAGCCCCGAGTATACTGTGTACTCACCGATCACAAACAGGGCAATCCGCCTTGTGTTTCCTCTGCTTATGTATCTCCCACATGTGGTCCCATTTCTGTTTGAGAGTTTCAAATCTCTCTCTGCATAGTATACATATGAACTTCTGCCTAGTGTGCCGTTCCCGCATGTGTTTTTTGTATTGAAATGGTGTATAGAAGACACGGTTACAGGCTATGCACTGTATTGGCTCCGTTGAAAGGTGAATCTGGAAATATTTAATTATGTTTGAGTTAAGGCAAGTTGGGCAACTCCCCTGTGTCCGGCGCGCCAATGCCTAGAGCTTGGAGTGTAGGGTTGTCATGTTATAATTTTAGTTGTACCCATTGACTAACAAATAAATGGACGACGGGTCTAATAAAAAAACCACGAAAAAAATGTCCCAAGTCAACCTATTTAAACGTACTGACATGTAAAGGAATATGAAAAAACTAAAACGCTGAATTTTAATTGTAATGTCATCGGAGTACTGTCTAATTTTGCTTGCTTCGCTGTCAGTCGAACAAACGAAGACTAAAGCGTGAATGACGCTCTGTATACGATTTTAACGCCCTATAAGTTCGGACACTTTTTAGCGCGGACATGACGTCCATATAATTGTAAGTCAATGGTTGTACCTATATAGAGTTGAGTAATTTTTCGGAAAATTTCAAATAGTGGAAATTTTGCCTCTCGACCAGTTATACCATTAATTGTATAAGTGGTACTAACCCATCGAGTATATAACCAGCAATAGAGACGAAATGTCATATATATAATAATATATGTCATAAATACAGAATATTTTTGGCTTATACGGAGACGTACACGCAGGTCAGTTGTTGGCGCCGTACTATTTCAGCTTTCTACTTTGAGAGTTGATATTAAAGATGAGTTGCCAGGGGTGGATGGCCCTTATTTCGTCTCTATTTCTGGTTACATGCTCGATGTATTGTAACCTAGAGACGTAGCTTTGGTTGCGTAGCGAGAGGTACTTTATAAATATAAACTGGGATTAACTTCAAAATTAGATGTTTATTGTATTTTTCACATGTTTACTTCTTGAGGCTACTTTTAGATCTGCCAAGATGTTCGTTTTTCTATCCTATTTTTTAAAACACATTCTAAATACAAAACTATATTCACTCAGCCAGTAGTTCTACTCATAGAGTAGAGCCTAGACTACAGTACTAACCTGTCTCATTTATACCTGTAATGGTATAGGTGACACTAGTTTATCCCAGTTATACCATTACTATAAATAATCCAATATACCATTAATGGTATAATTCAATGGTATAACTGGTCCGAAGGCGAAATTTTTCAAGAATAAATTCTGAGAAATTGGGTTTAGATATTTAGTAGCAGTAGTACTGCCACCTTACCTATTTCTGCCGCCAAGCACTAATATGGGCATTATTGCGTTCCGGTTTTGAAGAGTACAGGTGCTGGTGAGATTACAGGCACTAGGGACTAGTCAAATTGTGTATCAGGTTGACAGGTGCAGTGCAATGTTCCTCTGATGTTTGTGATTTAAAGCCCTGAGTGGCACTACAATTGTTACGAATAGGTGTGTCGCGCGCCCGCGTACT